CTCTTCTTCCTTTAGTTTCTGCCCAGCACCATTACCAGGTGGAGCGGCTGGGCAGAAAACGTTTTTGCTGATTCATCCCATCAGTGTTTGTTGAGCACCCACTATGTGGTGGACCTCATGCTGAGGCCTGGGGATTCAGAGGTAAAAGACAGAAGCCCTTCTCCAAAGGCTCACAGGGTAGTGGGGACGTTTAAATAGTAAGTTATTCTTGGCAAGCAGAGTCAGCAAATATGGTGGAAAATGAACCACTAACCCAGCTGGGGAGAGTCAGGAGACCTCAGGGAGGTCAAGCTTGGTTATCCCGGGGAAGTAGTCATCCTGGGTGAGGAAGCGGGAGTGCCATCAATGCTACCCAGTACAGCATGTGCCAAGTACAAATCTTCCTCAACTTACCGTGGGACTGTGTTCAGTAAACCCATCATAAGTTGAAAGTATCCCAAGTCAAAAATGCCGCTAGGGGCACCTGGGTGTCTCAGTCGGTTGAGTGTCCGACTTCAGCTCAGATCATGATCACTCAGTCCATGAGTTCAAGCCCCACATCAGGCTCTGTGCTGACAGCTCACAGCCTGGAGTCTGCTTCAGATTCTGTGTCTCCCTCTCTCTCTCTCTGCCCCTCCCCCACTCATTCTCTCTCTCTCTCTCTCTCTCTCTCTCTCTCTCTCTCTCTCTCAAAAATAAATAAACATTGGGGCGCCTGGGTGGCTCAGTCAGTTAAGTGGCTGACTTCAGCTCAGGTCATGATCTCACAGTTTGTGAGCTCCAGCCCCGAATCGCGCTCTGTGCTGATGGCTCAGAGCCTGGAGCCTGCTTCAGATTCTGTGTCTCCCTCTCTCTCTCTCTCTGCCCCTCCCCCATTCATGCTCTGTCTCTATCTCTGTCAAAAATAAATAAACATTAAAAAAAAATTTTTAAATGCCGCTAATACACCCCACCTACCCACCATCATCACTTAGCCTCGCTGACCTTAAACATGTCCAGAATACTCACATTAGCCCACAGTTGGGCAAAATCATCTGACACAAAGCCTATTTTATAATGAAGTGTTGATTATCCCATGTAATTTATTGAATACTGCACTGAAAGTGGAGAACGGAATATAAACGGTTGTATCTGGGTACAGAATGGTTGGAGGTTACCATTCTGGGTACAGAATGGTTGTTTACATAACCTCATGATCAAGAGGCTGACTGGGAGCTTCAGCTCGCTGCCCAGCATCATGGGAGAGGGTCATACTGTATATCGCTGGCCTGGGAAAAGATCCAAATGGACAATTCGAAGTATGGTTTCTACTGGATGAGTATTACTTTCACACCATTATAAAGCTGAAGAATCGTAAATTGACCCATCCAAAGTTAGAGACCATCTGTACTCAAAAAGCGTGGTCTTATTCTTCAAACAACTCTGAGGCAAGTACTCGGTCTCAGTTAGTCTGGGCTGCTGTCATAAACTACCACAGACAGGTGGCTTACAAACAGATTTACTTCTGATAGCTCCAGAGGCTGGAATTCCAAGATCAAGATGCCAGCCAGCATGGTTGGATTCTGGCAAGGACCCTGTCTTGAGTTGCAGAAATTTTGTTGCGTCTTCACATGGATGAAGGGGTGAGAGCGTTCTCTGGAGTCCCTTTAATAAGGGCGCTAATCCCATTCGTGAGGGCCCCATCCTCATGATCTAATTATCTCCCCAAAGCCCTGCCTCCTAATACTGTCACATTAGAGGCTAGGACTTCAAGATACGAATTTGGGGGGGACACACACATTCTGCCCATTGGTTACCCCAACCATCTGCTTACTACAGATGTGAAAACTGAGGCTGGAGTGGTTACCTGCACATCCACGGCCACACAGAAGGTGAGCAGTGATGTCAGCACTCCCCAAGACAGGTCTGAGTCCAGTTCTCACACTCTTCACACTCAGTCTTCCCAACTTCTGTGGTGTGAGGAAATAAAAAGGTCAAAAGGTGAAGGATGAATATTAGCAAGATTCGTGGAAAGAAAGCAGCAAAGGGGGAGCAGGGGAGAGTGGAAGCACCCACAAGCTGACTGAGTTCTCTCACAGAGGGTTGCATCTCTCAGGGATGTGGGCGAAGAGGAACCTCCTGGCAGGACCCCAGCAGGTGGAGTTGGGATATGGGCATGCCAGTGTTTTGGAAGCACACTGTTACCCTACTGTGTGGGTTAAATTCACTAACAGGGCGTCTTGCTCCTAGCCTGCCCCCCCCCCCACCACCACCCACACACACCGACACTTTCCTCCAACATGGACGCAACACAGGGGCTGGTGACAGTTTCAGAGAAACATAAATGTTCTTTTTCTTATTTCCAGCCATGCCTGCAATGCTACTCATTCTGCTGCCTCCTTCCTTCCCTCCTCTCCACCGCCCCAAATAAAATAAAATACAATAATAGCAGCACGCTAGAGTACCCAATATGCTCTGCATGCAAGCTTGGTTAAACACATCGCATTGACCTTTAATAAAGATGTGCCGAATGCTTCCTTCTCTCATTCAGTATGTTAATCTTCAGGCCAAACCGCCATCAGAGCAAGCATCATTAAGTGCAGATCTGATCTTGCCACTCCCCTGCTGTAACCCTTCAGTGCCTCCACATTGCCTACAGGATGAAGCCCAAACTCCCAATAGTGCAGAGAAGGACCTCCCGGGTGTGGCCTGTGCCAGTGGCCAACTTCATCTTGCACAACACCCCTCCCTCCCTCTGCACCTGACCAGCACTCCAGCCCTCTTTCAAGGGGAGTCTCTCTCTCTCCATCCTCAGTTCTTTACCTACAGTGCCGTTGACACTCACCCCACTGGCAGCTACACTGATTACCTCCTGTCATTCAAAATGCAGTTTGGGTCAGCTCCTCCATTAATACTTTCCTGAGTCCCACCCCTAGGCAGAACTGACAACCTCTCAGTGGACACAGTACAGATATATGTCACTGTCTCTGTGGCTCCTTGCTACATTCACTTAATTACATCCTGCTCACCTACTCTTAGCTTAGTGCTTGACATACATTAGGGGCTTAAGAAACAGTGAGAGCCAAAAAATGGATATTCAACAGAAGCTTACTGTGTTGATGCCTGATCTGACTCTCAGGGACCATCACATTGACATGTGCTCTGGACACTATGGCTTTATTAGAGAAGCATCTGACCATACAGGGCAGGGTACAGACCCAATCCAGCCATACTCCAATCATTGCACCTTTCCTGGGCTTGTCCTGATTCCTTCATGTTTGGATAGGAAGGTAGATACATTTAAATGGAAATTGAAAGAAAGTCCTTTCTTCTAGGGTCAGTCTCCAAATCCAGCTTGACCTCTCTGTCTGTCTTATGGTCATTTTGTGGACAAAGCTCTAGAGATGTTCAATTCCCCCCGTCAGGGTAGTCAGAGCAGTTGGGGAAGGAGGAGGGAAACGGTGGTTTTATTTACATCATTTCAAACCACTGAATCAGTTGATTTGTTCTTAATTCAGTTGACGAGGGAAGGAGCACTGGAGTTCAAGTTCCCTTGGCAGAGATGACTCTTTCTTATCAGAGAAACTTGAGTGAGCAATTTCTGGAGATGCAGAAGGTAGGGGGCCTCTGCCCAGGAAAATGGATTAGCATCCTTGATGCTCTCAGGATCAGAAGGTAGGAACAGGCCTGACCAAGGTGCACTCACCACCACCTGATAGAAGAGCCCACATGTGTTTATTTTGCCATTTCTTGTCCGTCTCCTCAATAAAATGAGGGTGGACACTGCATCTATCTTGTTGACTGCTCTATCCCCAGACCTTAACCCTATGCCTGGCACAAAGAGGTGCTTAGTGAACATTTGTTGAGTGAATGAATGACTTTGGTCTGGAAGTCAGGAGAGCTGGCTTCCAGTTCGCACTCTGAAGTCACCAGCAAGCTCTGTGACCTTAGGCATGTTACTGTACCTCTCTGATCTTAAGCTTCTTGTCAATGAGGAGTTATTATCCGCCTGACCAGTTTTACAGGTCACTGTGAGTTTCCAGCTGTATATGAAAGTCCTTTTTTTAGCATTATATGTGCACAGTACTAAACCTGAGAGATGATGTCGACTATTGAAGAGTTGGTCCTTTTCCACTGGGCATTAGAAATGTGGATGAGAGGATCTAGGAGGACTGGAGGAACCAGGCTCATCCCTCCACCTGCCAGGCACTGGGTTCCTGCCGTGCATTCTCTGGGCCTCCTGGACTGGCCACAGTGGTGGACACTTATGATAAACTGGGAATGCAAGACCCCTGGACACTTAGATCTGGAATCACCAGGATAGAGAGGGCAGTGGAAGCCATGAATGTAAATGGTCTTCTCACTGTAGAGTGAGGGGGGGGGAAAGCCTTGGACATGTCCCCCAATAAATGTCAACACAGAGAGAAGTAGGTGGAAAATCAGGAGCCAGCAACAGAACCTGAGAAGGAATGACCAAAAAAAAAAAAAAATAGGAATACCAAGCATGGCATTTTGGAAGCCAGGAGAAGAGAGTAAGAGCGCATGGAAAGAAGGGGAGGGATCATAGAGGATAGGAGTGAGAGAGGCTCATTGGAATTTGTGGATATTTGAAAACTTCAGTACATTCAGTGTTTACAAAGTACAACCAGTGTGTTGAATTTAAAAATCAGAATGAAACAAACCAAAACGGCAATTGTTTTTAGTTGATCGAGGTGCTTATTATCCTCTTGTTTTCTCTCTTTTTTCCATGTAGTCTGATATATACTTATGTCACTTTTATAACTGAAAAAGCATATTTAATACTAAAATACATATGAGTGTGACTACCTCAAATACGTGTAAAAAGAGAAAAGGCTATGTACATGGGCCCGATAGAGAGGAGATCCACAAAAATGAAATCCATTGTTGAACTTAACTGTTGAATCTCATGGTAGGATCTGGCCTGATTTGCTTTTCTTTCTAAAAGTGTTTTCTTAACGTCCTTTTAATTGAGCAATGTAAACAAATAAGAATGGTGACCAGGAGATGTTTCAATAGGTCCTGAAGCCTTTAATTGTATATTTCATTATGACTATAATGCTATGGGTCTAGGTCTCAGGGGCCATCACCATGGACTTGGTTCTTTCCTGTGTCCTTGTAGTGACCACATTTCTGTTCGCCAGTATTCATTGCCCCCATCCTGCTGGAGAAATGTGCTTCTTTGAATCCCCGATGTCAACCTTGACCATGTTACTTCTTGGGCTGCCAAAGTGTGAGCAGAAGTGACATGTGTCCCTTCTAGGATGGAAGTTTTAAGAGACAACATATGCTTCATCATGCTTGCTTTCTATCATTGCTACTCACAAGGGTCTTAAATGGCAGCTGCTCTATGGGCCTGAGTCCCTGAGTGTGAACAGCAGTGACATGGAGGCAGCTCCCAGCCAACCTAGGGTGAACATGTACACAAGCAAGAAATAAACCTTTGTTGTTTAAAATAACTGAGATTCATGGGGCCCCTGGGTGGCTCAGTCAGTTGAGTGTCCAACTTTGGCTCGGGTCATGATCTCACCATTCGTAGGTTTGAGGCCTGCATCAGGCTCTGTGCTGATAGCTCAGAGCCTGGAGCCTGCTTCAGATTCTGTGTCTCCCTCTCTCTCTGCCCCTCCCCTGCTCATGCTCTGTCTCTCTCTGTCTTGAAAATAAATAAAACATTAAAAAATTTAAAAATAACTGAGATTGGGGGGGTGGGGGCAGGAGGCTGTTCATTACTATAGCCTGTCCTAGCAGATACAGTCTTCTGGAGTCTGAAAAGAAAAAGAAAAAAAAAAAAAACAATTATCAGCAATATCACACTTTCTCAAGAAACCTAACTCTTAAATCTTTCTTATTTTCTTCTCTAGATGATGCATATTTACTACAGGGACTTAATATAGAAGAACTATATCCAGAGACTTCTAGTTTCATTACTTACGATGGGTCGATGACTATCCCACCCTGCTATGAGACAGCAAGTTGGATAATAATGAACAAACCTGTGTACATAACCAGGATGCAGGTGAGCTTTTCCGGGGTCTTTTAGCTCATGGGGAAGACAGTATAAAGACCGACTGGGTTTGTGGAGCACCTGTTCTATCAGTTTGCTAGGACTGCTTCAATGAAGCATCATAGACTTGGTGGCTCACACAACAGAAATGTACTGCCTCACAGCTCTGGAAGCTGTAAATGCAAGATCAAGGTGTCAGCAGGGTTGATCCATTCCAAGGGATGTAAGGAAGAAACTGTTCCACACCTGTCCTTCAGGTGGGTTGCTGGCAATCTCTGGTGCTCCTTGGCTTGTAGAAGCATTGCCCGCTCTGCCTTCATCTTTACATGGCTTTCTTCCTCTGTGTCTCTGTCCAAATCCCCTTTTCTATAAGGCCACCAGTCATAATGAATCAGGGCCCACGTTATGACCTTAGCTAATTACGTCTGTAATGAGCCCATTTCCAAATAAAGTCACATTCTGAGGTGCTGGGGTTAGGACTTCAATTTATGAATTCTGGGGGTACACAATTGAAATCACCACACCTGTGTTTGAAGAACCAGCCTCTGAAAAGGCTTAGCATGAACTAATTATAGATAGAACCATCCCACCTGTCTGAATGGGAAAAGAGAGCAGGGTTCCCAAAGTGTGACAGCTGTGATGTTCAAACAGCAAGTGAGCAAAATGGGTATGTCGAAATATGTTTGAAAAAGCTGGATTTAAAAAAAAAGTTAAATAGATTTTCTTACTGGGAAACTTCTCAGGGCCTTTAAATTGATAATATATGTGTCTGTCTCCCAGAGAAGGCACGGGATGTTTAGCATTTCACGAACCTATTTGAATGTGGGATTTTTTAGAGCACCTCACCGGACTAGCATTCCTCCGAACTGCATGAGAACCAGTGGCCACGTGGTGCCAGCTTTGCCAATGGCTCAACTGTGTGCTCCTAAAGCTGTCACCCCCACTTATGTGAAGGGAATACTCCTCCTCTTTGTAACGAGGGGGGGGTAAATTACATCTGTTCAAGTTTGGACTTCTCTGATGGTGAGCGTCTATAAAAACTCAAAAGGAAGATAGATGAGCAAAGGAAGTGGAATCCAATCTCCTTATCCAGTCTCCTTGACAGAATATGTTCTCACAAGCCAACAGTCTGAACCATTTGAAGGCTCTGATCCTATCTGTAATGATTGGGATTCTTTAGGTGACAAGGCACCCCCTCCAGATGACTTAAACTTAGGGAAAAGGATGTATTCAAGAGATATGGGGGCATCTCATGGAAGTTGAGATCAGAAATTGATGTCAGGAATTCACGAGAAGTCCATCCTCCCGGTTCTTTTCTGCTTGTTGCACATATGCTTTATTCTTCTTTTCTGTTGGAGACTCTTCCTTTGCTTCACAGTCCTGGGGTGGAACATGGTAGAAAATGCTCCAGTCCAGCCACCTGGTCCTGATAATCACAGAAAATGAACAAGATTGATCCAGCGTAATGTAGCTCCGACCCTGGGACCAATCACTACCGTTTGGCTAATACCCATGTGGGGGAATGATTCCCTGAATTAGTGAAAGTTATCAAACCATGAGGTGTCAGAGAAAAAAAAGGACACTGGAGAACAACTAGATAGATTTCCTCCTTTGACAGAGAGTGTATTTGAGGATAAGAGAGAGCAAAAGGACTTGTTCAGAGCCATGTATGACCTAGTCAGATAGAAGCAAGGCTCACTCCGTGCACGGAGGCATCAGTGGGCCTGCAGCACAACTGAATCCATGAAACAAGGGTCTCTGCAGGGCTCACACGCCCTCTCCCAGGCAGCCAGTACCACCAGGCGTGGCCACGGTCTACGCGGTCCTCCTTTTTCCCTAGTGCATTTAGGAGAATGGGTCGGACTCAGCTGTGTCTCTCTCCACAGATGCATTCCTTACGCCTGCTCAGCCAGAATCAGCCATCTCAGATCTTTCTGAGCATGAGTGACAACTTCAGGCCTGTGCAGCCGCTCAATAACCGCTGCATCCGCACCAACATCAACTTCAGTTTACAGGGGAAGGACTGTCCAAACAACCGAGCCCAGAAGCTTCAGTATAGAGGTGGGTGCAGTGGCTCCGAGGGCAGTCAACCCCAGCCAGAGCTCAGCCATCTTGTTTAGGCTGGCTCTTAAAGGCCTGGTGTTAGCTCCCAATATAAGAACCATGATTACAAATGACGATGAGACCACCACCTTCCATTTGTATCGTGTTTTCCTGTTGGTAAAACCTATACATCATTAGAGATAGAGATTAGAGAGAGAGAGACAGAGAGAGAGAGAGAGAGAGAGGTAGAGAGAGAGAGAGAGATTAGAGATAGCAATAGAGTTAGGGATAGGGAGAGAGATAGATAGGGAAAGAAAAAGAAAGAAAGAGAAAGGAAAGATAGAGATAGAGAGGTGAGGCAGGGGCGCCGGGGGTGGGGGAAATGCTCAAACCTTCAAATCCCTTCTGGTTCAAGCAAGACAGCATTAAAAAAAAAAAAAAAAAAAAGGAAAGAAGGAAGGAAGGAAGAAAGTTTTATCGGAGCCCAAGTTAGGACAGCTGCCAGGTATATACAATCTTCACAAAGAAGAGAGTGCTCCCATGAAGGAACATTTGGTGTAGGGTTATATACATTTTTTATATAAATAGTTACAAGTCATTACACTAAGGACATTTCCCAAAATTGCAGACCTTATCTCAAGCTTCTAGAATCTACAGCGCCATATCACTTTAAACTTATGGGAACCAGGGAGGTTTTTCTCCTTTTTCTATTTCTTTCAGTTTTTGCTTAAATTCCAGTTAGTTAACCTATAGTGTAATACTAGTTTCTGGTATATGGTATAGTGATTCAACATTTCCGTACGTCACCCTGTGCTCATCACAACAAGTGCACTCCTTAATCCCTGTCACCTATTTCACCCAGCCCCCCGCGGGCCCCGCACGGGGGGGGGGGGGGCCGGGGCGCTCTGGTAACCATCAGTTTGCTCTCTATAGTTAAGAGTCTGTTTCCTGGTTTGCGCCCCCCTCTCTTTTTCCCTTTGCTTGTTTGTTTTGTTTCTTAAATTCCACATATGAGTGACATCATATGGTGTTTGTCTTTCTCTGACTGATTTCGCTTAGCCATAAGACAACATTTTTATTGCCATTTTACCAAGGGCCCAACGAGGCTGACTTTCCAGTGTTATTTGTTAGAACAGGACAGCTAGAAGCCTTCAAGTTTTTAGCTATGTGCACGGTGGTCTCCACTCACCTTTCTCCCAAAAGGCAAGCAAATGTTCTGGATGCCAGGCCAATGGGATCCAATGAGGAACTATGTGTGAGCACATCGTTTTCCAGTGCTGTGTTTCTAGAAGTGACTATTATCCCAACTAAAGAGAACATTTAAGATGACTCCTGCCTCCTATAACCCTGTTGTCCATATCCAGCTCCCTCTCTTCCCTTATGCATGCTCAGTAACTGCCAGCCATTGTGGTAAACCCTCAACATGGAAAGGAAGATGGAGACAGAAGAAAGTCATGCAGATGCCTTCAGCAGGGAATCCACACACCTGAGCTCCAAGCCTGGTTCTGTCACTACCAAGCCATGTAAACCCAACAGTCATTTCCCCCAGGGCCTGGCTTTTTTCATGACAGTCCCTATACCATTTACTTCATGACTTGTGAGGAGCAAATGAGAGCCTGGGTGGGGAAGCCCTTTGTAGCAATAACGTGCTGCCCAAATATGGGAGCTACGGATGTTATCAAGCAGCTTTTAGAAGCAGCTACCACTGCTGCCCCGAGGTCCCCCCACTTGAGCTCTCCTGCTTCCCGCACATTTCCCTCTTTTTTCTCTGTCAGATATATGCAGAGTGTCCAAACTACAATTTTCTGTTCCCTTCTAGCCAGAACTACCAGAAAAATACTCAACTCATTCATTGAACCTTCCCTTTATTCAACACCTAGTTGTTGTGCACCTACTAGGTGCCAGGCACATACTTAGCTAGGTGATGGGAATACAGTGGTGAGGAAGACAGATATGACCCATGCAGAGCTTACAGTCTGGAGCAGGGATCACAGACTTTTTCTGTAAAGGGCCAGCTGTTAAATACTTTGGGCTTTTGAGTCATATGGTCTCTGCTACACTCTTATGTTGTAGTGTGAAAGCAGCCATAGACATTATGTAAATTAATGGGTGTGGCCATGTTCCAATAAAACTTTATTTACAAAAACAGATCACAGGCTGTATTTGGCCCATGGGCTGTCATTTGACCACCCCTGGTCTCGAGCACTGCCATCCACTAGAGCTTTCTGTGACTATGGAAATGTTCTATATCTACATTGTTCAGTATGGTCGCGACTAGCCACACGTGGCTGTCAAACATTTGAAGCGTGGCTAGTACGATGATACACGCTAAATTTTTAGTTTTATTTCATTTTAATTAATTTTAATTAACGTTAGCCACGTGTGAGTGGTAACAAACGTATTGGAGAGCTCAGGCCTAGAGGTTTATGAGGAAGTGGAAGAGGTAGTTGGGATACATACATACAATTCCCAGAACTGTCCCTTCCCCTTTGGAGTAACCCCCCCCCCCCCCAAACTTCATTCACATTAATTCAACTCTGCCTTGTTTTGTACTGTGTGTGTCTGTGTTTTTTTTTTCTTTCCAGTAAATGAATGGCTCCTCAAGTAGGGAACAAGGCCAAGAAGAATCTCAAGAAGAAATGCTACAACTGTGAATTGATGTAACCTAGATACCCCTTCTTTCTTCTCTCTCCTTCCCTCCCTCAAGCCTCATCCACTCTTTGGATTGGCCCTTTCTTCATGAAAAGTGTCTGCAACACCATGCCAGAGGAACACATCTCTTATACACACCCACC